AAGATTCTCAAGCTGAGAAGAATTCAGCTGCAAAAGAAAAAAAAATGACATAAATTTTATGATCTTTCCCAGTATAGGTATGTAAAGAAGGGCTGCTGGGAGAACCTTATCTGGAAGTCAGCTGCCGGCCACACCATCACTACCTCTAAACTATAACCTAAAAAGACCATATTCTTATAAGCTGTCAGCATACAGTCTTCGCTTGAATAAAGCTTACCTCAATATACAATTCTGCTGGAAGCAAACCCCAACGGATAATCGTCTCGCATTCCAAGCATAAGAAGACTCCATGGCATTAAGGGGGCCAAGGTGATCAAGATGAGAACTCAAATTCTGCCTGAAAAGTTGAAATCTATGCTAAGAAGGTAGAACAAGTTAGAGTGCATCACGGTGGCAATTTTCCTTCGCACCTAGCAGATTCAAGCATTGGGAGCAATTCAGAAACCACCTTTTGCAAATTAAGGTGGTTTAGCATATTTTTGCTTCCGTTTATGGTAGTTTTTGAAAGAACCGAAATTTGTTGATTATCATAATTTTTGTCTAGTAATTCTTTCCAAAATTCATCATCCTCCTTGAGATTTGATGCCTTCATGAGTTCGATCAGTTGCTCAAGTCTTGCCACATTCCTACCAGCCCCACAACCCATGGCAGTTGCGGCACCGACAGAATTTGCTATTGTTAACGTGTTAACCAGCGGCAACATGTGTATAAAACCAAATGCAATAGCAGCTACAAAACTATCTCCACATCCAACTGTGTCAATGACATTCACCTGATCACATTTTCAAAGATCAAACAGTCAAATAATAATTTTAAGAAAATAATCCACTAAGGGTTAGTTAAGTGAAGTTAAAAGATTTTTTTTCTTGAAATAAGGTGAAGTTAAAGGAATGTTCTGATGTAAAATAACAAATTTCAGATTAGTCTTGAGGAGAAATGCTCAATGTCTCAGAGATATGTTTATTCAGGTAGTCGTGTGAAATTATACTGGCTGGAAAGCACAATTTAAAGGACAGTCAAGAGTACTTTAGCAAACTAACTGGAGAAATAATGTAACATAGTAACTCATACCTTAAATGCAGGTGCACAAGATATGCTTGACTTGGTGATTAGAATTGAGCCCTTGGGACCCACTTTCACAATCACCCATTTTGTGCGTACCCCTCTCTTCAACAACTCTTGCCCTGCTTGCACAGCATTCTCAATGCCAGTCAAGGATTCAGCCTGGAAATCATCAAAAGAAGTAGAGAGAGATGGACTTAGAAAAGAAGTGCATAAACACAAACCAATTGGCATGAATGACAAACAATGGGGCCCTGACTGTTTTCACTTGTTCAATTTTAGTCAGTGAAAAAATGGACAAAAGGCCATAAGAATCCGACAACTCCTAGGAGAACACCTAATGATCAAATGGGAAAATAAAAAATGCATAGCACAACAATCAACATTTACGGGTTTCACCATGTCTAAGTCTTCTTTAAAGGCATCCATCTCAAATTTTAGTACAAAAACACAGTGGTATATACTTTCCAAAGCATCAAGTATCTTTCTCAGAAGTAACAAACAATCTAAAGATTACTTCGTCGACTTGTGAATTTTGAAACTGAAAAGTTGGGTTATGATCCAATTGAGCTAGGACCACAAAACACTAACTCTGAAAAAAAGTGACACAAAATGCTTCCAGCTCTTGTTAGATGAACTAGATCAACACTTTCTGTAAAGATGTGTTTCTATATGCAACAAGTTTTTGAAGTTTGGTTTCAGTCACTTAAGTGCACATTCTGCTTTCTTCAAGACATGTTTAAAATCCCTTTTCCCCTTCATTTTCTGGATTGGAGGCATGAAGGAGGTAGCAAGAGACTTGGGTGGTTCCACGGAGGGGAGTTTTTAAGCGGTTGAGGGAGGAGGGAATTATAAGTTGTTGAGATGGCGAGAAGGTGGGTGGGAGGAGTCATTCAATTGGGGAACTAACAAAAAAAAAAAAAAATGAATATCCAAGAATCAAAGAATACCACTGCAGTCAACCTTCAGTACAAAAGAGGAAATGGATATGTAGGCCTACAGATAGAACAAAGACAAAACAGGCAAGTCACAATTAAATATTAAAAAGCACCTTCAGGTCATAAAACATCCACTTTTGTCTATAATTCTTTTAGGGACAGCGTGGGAGAGGTGGGAGATGGAGATGGAGATGGTTCCACGGAGGGGAGTTTTTATGCGGTTGAGGGAGGAGGGAATTATAAGCTGTTGAGACGGCGAGAAGGTGGGTGGGAGGGGTCATTCAATTGGGGAACTAACAAAAAAAAATGAATATCCAAGAATCAAAGAATACCACTGCAGTCAACCTTCAGTACAAAAGAGGAAATGGATATGTAGGCCTACAGATAGAACAAAGACAAAACAGGCAAGTCACAATTAAATATTAAAAAGCACCTTCAGGTCATAAAATATCCACTTTTGTCTATAATTCTTTTAGGGACAGCGTGTGAGAGGTAGGAGATGGAGATAAAAAAACAGGGTAACTGAGAGATCGTCTGTTAGGGGAGAATAGTGAACCAAGTTGCAGAGGGTGGGAATGAGTATGATCATAGAGGACGGAAACAAATGACACAATCTCATCAATTAAAAAAATTGATAAGAGATACATGCTCAGTAGATAGAGAAGAAAATTATGTATTCTATGAGAACTAGAGTAACTATTCAAACCTCATCAGATGTCAGAAGAAGAACGTCACTCATCTTCAAGAATTGGCTAAGTGCTCTTTGTTCTGCAGGTGTCCCATTTGAAAGACTCTTTCCACGTGGGCCAGGATCGAAAAAGACTGCTGTCCCAACTTTAGTAGCATAATCTAGTGCTGATGTTAGAAGACTAGGGCAAAGCTCATCAAAGCCATAGCCATTGCAGAAAAGGACTCTTGACCTTTTGATGGCCATCTTTACTTCTTCTGATAGTTTGCTCAGCCAGCTGAAGGTTGGCTCCTTGGTAAAATCAGCTCGACTGAAAAGCAAAATATTCAGCTACCTATTCTTGATAAAAAAATCTATATACCAATCAACTACAAAAAGCCCATGGAGGCAATTGTTTCACTAAATCCTAGTAGGATTTTAGGTTGAACAAAAAAAAATGATAATTTTACCTGCAAAATCCATGTCTGTGCAAAGGATCCACTAGGACCCAGCATAAGAGTGTCTCATAACAGGCATTAGTATTATAAATGGTATCAGTTTCTTCCCTCATCCTAACCATATCAATTCCCTCATCATGAAGGACATCAAGAAGGAACTTCCCATAGATTTCGTTACCCAAATGACCTATTGCAACACAATTAAGTCCTAGTCTGGCAGCTGCAATAGCCATATTGCAATTGCCACCAGCTTCCCAGTATTGCTGTGCACAGAACAACATTATTGCTGTATCAGATGTTGCAATTTAGCAAAAAGAAAAAACAATTATGAAGTGTTTCTTAAAAACAATAAGAATATAAATTTAGGCCATATTTTGAATAAATGAACTTCATTTGGAAATCTATATCTATTTTAACTACGAGAAAATGCAAATTTCTCACAAACTAATAAAAACTGACCTCCTAAAAATTTCAAGTGAAATTGGTGGAAGTTAAAATATTCCCTCGATTCCATATGGAATTTGTCACAATTATCACTTTTTATCAAATGAATTCCACAAATCAATTTCATTAGTTCGAAACATAAGCTTAAAATATCTTGAAAGGTACAGCCAAATTGAGATAATAGCAATTACAAAACTAGGGCATATGACTGGCAAAATCCAGCGTTTGACCATCTCAAACTGATAATATAGGAACATCAAATACAGGATATTCAAATAGCACTGAAAAATCTACTGATCCTCAGGTCATAAACAAGTCGGTAGCATAAAAAAAAGTATGTTACGGCTCATTCTTCATTCTATTGCTCTTTCCCCTTGCTAATAGTGAAAATGCATAACCGAGTTTGTCAACCTTGTGAACAATATCTTAATTTTAAACAATATATGCTCATAGATTGGAGACAAAGAAGAAAAATACAAGGGAAAAATGAGAAAGAAAAAGCGTTAATCACTAACAGAGAGTCAAATTTCAGCTTAACCAACCTTATCAGGAGGAGAAGCCGATATACGTTCCATGTAAGCCTTGCGGGGTTCGAAGGAGGACGGAGGCAATTTAGGAACATTGAGCACAATATCGACACAGAGGTTACCAAGAGTAGCGACATATAGAATTTTGTTGAAGGAGG